TATCGCAAGGAATTACAAACTAACGAGTGGGACGCTTAGGCCGTTTTTATTTTCATGTTTTGTGGGAATGCGCGGCCTCCGAGGGATATTGCAGAAGCAGTTGCTCTTGAGTTCTGGCCCTCGTCATCATCTTCGGTTCTTATTTTGCAGCACCTAAAATGTTATCCGCATCAGGAAATTGCGTTTTACTTGTATTAAAGCGCAATTACAGGACTTGGCAAAGTGCCAAGAGAGCCGCACGCGACACGCGCGCTTACGACGGATGTTAGCATGAACGGGAGTCTGCGCCGCAAAAGGTATGGGCGGAGCATGGAGGAATTAGCGTGTTTCACGGTCCTGTATCTCCATTCCTCTCCATTCCTACGCAGCACGGGGAAACGGCTACGCTACGACAGCCGGGCGAGGAGGGGGCTGAGTCACGCACACCCAAACTATGTGTGATCGTTCCATGTGTCTTTAACTGACGTAGCCACTGTAAACGATGTCACCGACATACCGTTACGTAGGTTACGCCGACGTCGGCGACGACGTCATGAAGTATGAACGCAGTCTTAGACAGCAGGACACAAGGGCAGATCTTGCCTCGCCTGGCTTCTTAATTATTATCCTCACTTTCCATCCTTCGTAGCCATTTCCGAGGCGTGAAAACGAAAGCTTTGCGCTGCTCAAATTGGATTAAGCATCTGTTATTTCTGCTTCGACTACTGCTTAACGCAGCGCTCAGTCTTCGCGATGACGCGTGCGACAGCGCGTCTACGCGCTATAATTGCAACAACCCTCCAAAGCTGTTGAAGCGATCGATTCCCGTCAGCGAAGGCTCGATTGATAGGCCCTGGCGCCTGTGTTTCGAGAGAGTATGGGGCACTACGATATTAGGTTTGCCTTTCTCATGTAGAAATGGTTTCGGTCGGCAGTGGCCATCTGCGGCTGCGTTCGCGTCTATAGCTTTGGAGCGCTTCTGCAATTGTAGCGCGACAACGCGAGTTACAGCGCATTACAGCGCGTCAATCGTGAAATCTGAACGCTGCCCTTATACAAAGCGGAGCTTGAACAGCACCATGTGCTATGTCCAACGAAGACCAACCCACTTAAACTGTTGGCATAAGATTTTCTATCCAGAAAGCGCCAGCATTTCATGCCAGCAAACATCGTAAAAACAAGTTTCACCTCTGCGGATTTGAAGAGAGGAAGGTATCCACTTATTGTGCGCTGTACAACAGAAAAATGGTAAAAATACCCGGAAGTGGCGACTTGTACGAATAACATGAAGCTCTCTTTTTGTTGTGTAAATTCCACCGAGAAAACCTACCTTTAACCAGTTTTTTTTTGCATTAACATCTATCAAAAGAAGCTCTGCGTGAAAACCAAAAAGCGTGTATAGCGGTACTTCCGTGTCGCTACGAGTGCGACAGTAAAGACATTGCAGGTGGAGTGACATTCGTGGCATTCTCACCAGGATCCAAACAATTCAGCGTGGCAGCGCTGCAGCGTGTCCACTCTCTCTGTGTCTTTGTCTTTCACGCTATTCAGCTGGAAAGGCGTGTGGCGCTACGACTCGGAAATAAGGCTATAGAAGAGTTCTGAATAAGTAAGAGGCTTCAATGTTAAAATACCAAGAGCTCTGCGTTGCTGCGGATTCCATTGACGTCTACAGCTACACGCATTTGTTGGCCATTCAGAGCGTCCAAGAATACAGCAGAAATTGCCTCGTAGATGGCTGCGTATTGAGGCAATCCGTTGGCGACACAAGCCGAGTATATTTCAGCGCAAGCAACCACATCACGCACTGATGGAGAGTGCCTAATTCAACAAGACATGACTTTTTCATTTTGAATTTCCAGCCTCCCTTGAGGTGCGCCACTTACCTGAACATGTGCATATATTTCTTGAAAAACTCTGCTATCCAGTTAATCACCAGTTCTGCCGGTGATACCCCGAAAGAAACCGGAAGCTTACGGACGTTGTCCGCTAGCCTCGAGTTGAATATTTCGAGTAATTCATTCCCTTCGTAATCGCAACTCGACCACACTTCCGTGAAACGGTTTCGCAGTGCTTTTGATAGCTGGAACATACAATGAAGATAATGAGGGGTACGGATGGGTAACTCAGTAGTGAGGATTACCTCCTTCTTGCCATAATCTCCTCCAGGATTCATAGTGGCGATAATTTGGAAACCGTCACAAGCGGAAACAGGATGCACTTCAACTCCGGCATCGGATAGTAGTAAGGTTCGGTCCTTAAGAATTCTATGTTTTATTGAACGGTGAAAATAGCTGAGGAGAACAAACGTATGAGATCGAGATGAAAAAAAAACAGGCCGACTAATTTAGAAGATCTCCACTCTAAGTGGGACTTCCTGAGCGAAAAGAGAGGTCGAGATTGATACTAACGGAACTGACCTCTTCAAAGAGTGGATTTAGCCGCTCCAAGACAGAATCTTCCGCCAACGAAATCTCATCAATCAGAAGAGGAACTCCAGCCTTCATCGCAGAAATCACAACACCATCTGCCCAAGCAAATCTGCAAATTGGACGTCGTAAACAGAAAATTCTTCGAATGCTGTACTTCTTCACAAACACTGATGACTTGTTTCTGTGAAGCACTGAAGTTTGCGTAGAGAAGATGCCACAATAAGCTACGTAAAAAAACCGCTTAAAAAGGAAACGAAAGCCCCACTCCTCGGATCCAAGGCCACATTTTTGTCGAGGTTTTTCGGAGAGTTGTTTCAGCAAGAACCTCGGCTCCCTCGTCCCTTGCCCAGAAATACAGCATCTAGCTAGGGGCTGGGCTGCACATGCTACAGTAGCTGGCCCGGAGATGAAGGAAGTGCTTGATGCTGACGGAAGTAACGCAGGCGGCAGTCGCCGTTCTTGGCACAAGGTACAGACAGCATCGTTACGAGGATCTCATCAGTAGAGTCGGTAGAGGTCGTATTTGGTTGATAAGGATCATATCCGCACTTGATAGAAACCATCTCACACAACAGCACCCTGCCTGAACAGATG